AAAAAAAAAAAAAAAAAAAAGGCTTCCAAGATCCAGGGATGAAGCTCAGTGGTGCTGTGCCCGCCTGGCAAGAGCAAAGTCCTGAGTTCAATTCCTGGTACCAAAAAAAAAAAAAACAAGCTTCCATAATAATCTCTGTGTCTTCCTTCTGGATTCTCAGGATGTCAGCACTTCCATTCCTAAGCAAGAAAGATTTCTGAGCTGTTCTGGAGACAGCCTTCTCTGGAGTGAGGCCGATGTGGTCCAGGCGACCAGTGACTTTGGCCCAAGCCACAGGATCGGCAGGGGCATCTTTGCTGATGTGTACCGAGGGCAGAGACATGGGGTCCTCTTGGCCGTTAAGAAGCTCCGAGAGGTGGGCATGGTGGTTTCTCCTGGGATAGTGGCTCCATGCAATCATGGGGCCAGGTCTTTAGCTCCTCTGTTCTTCTCCACAGGCAGCCTGCTCGGGTCCAGGGTCCCTAGAAAGGTTCCTCCAGGCAGAAGTGCAGGTTTGTCTCCGGTGAGTTTCCCTTGGGAAACACTGTTCAGTGATGATGACGGGCGACCTCTGCACAATGCTTCCTGTGTGCCAGGCACGTTTCCATTGCTCCACTCTACATTGTCTTCATCCATTTCTTGTGCTATACCTGAACACCACAAAGGGGGTAAATTTAGTAAGAACACAGGTTTGTTTATCACACAGTTCTGGAGGTTGGAAGGAAAGAACATGACACCTTCACCTGGTGAGGGCCTTGTGCTTCATCAGAGTATGGCAAGGGGCATCACAGGGAATGGGCAACTAGCCAGCCCAGCTATCGCTTCCTCTTCCTGTAAAGCCACCAGCGCCACCACCGGGGTCCACCTTGGTGACCTCATCAATCCCAGTTTCCTCTCCAAAGGCCCCGCCCCTAATGCCATGAATGTGGATTAGGGGATTAAATTTCCAGCACATCAGCTTTGGAGGACGAATTCAAATCATAGCACATATGAATTCCTTCAGTCCTGATGAGAACTGGGTGACACGGCTACTGTTAACACAGTGTTTTATAGATGGATACACTGAAGCACAGAGAAGCTGTGTCTGGTCCAAAATCACACAACTAGGAAGAGCCACCAGCAGGACTGAGCCCGTGTGGCCTGCCTCCAGAGCCCATACTTTCTCTGTGTAGCACCTATAGGCAGAGGTTAAACCAGAGAGGGACAAGGGAAGGAATTTGTTCCTGGGCCATGGCTTGAAATAGGCAAAGCCTTACAGACCGCAGCTCCAGTGGTGGAGCCATCTTAACCCGGGATGCACTAGAGCAGGTGCTGGCAAACAGGCAGTCATGGGCTACTTCTGGCCCTGCTTCTGTCTGCACAACCAGCAAGGTAAGAATTGTTTGTACGTTTTCAAATGGGTGAAAAATGTACTAACCCACAACACGTGCAAGTTCTATGAACTTCCGATGTCAGTGTGTCTGTGACAAAGTTTTACTGGAACACAGCTCTGATTTCCACATCATCTGCGGCTGCTGTGTGCAGCTGAGTAGCCACAGTGGAGTTGCAGGCTGCACCAAGGACAAAACGTTTACTAACTGGTCATGTGCGGATGTTTGCTGAGAGGCCAGGGGTGTAGCTCAGTGGTTAGTATTTGTGCACATGTGTGAAGCCCTGGGTTCCGCCCCCAGCCTGAAAAGAATGATGCATAGGAAAATAGGAGGCATCTCTTTTCCACAGCCCTGCTGTATTAATTTGAAGGATGTTCTGAAAGACTCTGTTCAGTGCCTTCTCTGTGCGTTCACGGTGGGAATGCACACTGGCATGTCCATGTACACACACTTCATCCAGACGAAGCCAAACTCTTGCTCCACCTCATCGTTCTCTCATTCATTGGATTGGGAAACCTGAGCAGCACTGCCCCCACCCCCCAGGCTCCAGGGAGTGCGGACATGAAACAGATACAGTCTCTGTGCCCTTGGAGGAGCCTGTGTCTGGCAGGGACTGACTTGTTAACAAGCACACAGGGTGTGGCAGAGTGAGGCAGGATGGCTCCAGGAGCCGGGATGGTGTGACCGCAGGTGAAGAGAAGGGAATGGAGGCAGCAGTTTGAAAGCTGTTTGTGACCCTGAGTGGTAACTAATGAGATGTGGGAGCTGAGGTTCCCTGAAGCTGGATGGGTGTCTGCCCTTGAACTGAGGTCATGAACAAGGGCAGAGAACCTGGGAATCAGGGCTAGACATGGTGTTGGGCAGCTTTGGCTGGGCTAGAGTTCCGGGGCTTGGTTTAGAGCTGTTCCTGAGGCCGTGGGAGGAGCCTGCTGCAGGACACCCTCATTTCAGAAGGCAAGAGAGGAGTGTCTTGGAAACAGCCAAGCATGAATAGTCAGAGAGGTGGAGGGGAGTAGGAGGGAGTGGAGACTCAGCCAGAGGAAGAAAGTTGTAGGAAGAGCCCCACTGGCTTGTCAGACCACCTGGTGCAGGTCCAGGCTTCCCTGCTTGCTTAGCTCAGGGAGGGAGGGAAGGCTTATCTCTGGGTCTCCTTGATGTCTGATCGTTACCTTGCATTGCTGACTGCTTTCAGATGCTGCCACCCCAACGTGCTGCCTTTGCTGGGCTTCTGCACCGGCGGACAGTTTCACAGCCTGATCTACCCCTACATGGCAAATGGTTCTCTGCAGGACAGACTGCAGGGCCAGGTAAGGGTCTTCATAGTCAGGGAAAGAAGAGGGCATGGTAGGGAATCGTGGTTAAGGGAGGACAGAAGAGGGGCCATCCAGGTGACAGGAGAGGGCTTTGAGGGAGGAGTTGTGCCAGGAAAGGCCTGGCAGAATTATTTGCCAAGAGGGATGTCATTCAAGTCAGGCACAAGATAGGTGCGCCAAAGTACCAGTGCTGCCCCTCACTGCTCTAGACACGTTAGCCAGTGCATTGGGAGCACAAAAGAGGTCCGAGGTAGGGATATAGAACAGGAGGCAGATTTTTACAGTACATGTTCAACTATACGCCTTGCTTCTGTGTTCATGAGCGACTCTGGAGACAGACACAAGCAGTTTATCAGTATGGGGGAAGAGAACTGGGTAGCTGGGGCAAGGACAGAGAAAAACTTTCACTATATGCCCATTGGTAGCTTTAGAATATTGTTTCACATGAGTGTGTGTGTGTGTGTGTGTGTGTGTGTGTGTGTGTGTGTGTGGTTCTGGGGATGGAATCTAGGGCCTTGTGCCTACTTTAAATGCTCTACCACTGACAAACACTCCTGACCCTTTCTAATCTTATTTTGAGACAGGGTCTTCCTAAGTTTGCCAGGCTGGGTTTGAACTTTTGATCTTCCTATTTCAGCCTCCTAAGTAGGTGGATTAAGGCATATACCCCCCATGCCTGATTAAAAATTATAGTTTTAAGCCAGGCACAGTGGCACACACCTATGACCTCAAACTGTAGAAGCTGAGACAGGATCACCACAAGTGGAAGACCAGCCTATGCTACATAGTGAGTTCAAGGCCAGCCTGGACTACACAGTAAGACCCTGTCTCAGAAACAGATAAATAAATAAATAAATAAATAAATTATAATCTTTAAAACAAGATCTCCCACTTATAACCTCCTCAGACAAAAGGAGAGTCATCCACAGCACAGTTGTCACTTCCCTCAGTGGACAACAGGCATCACTTGTACTCGCCTTGTACGGCTGTCTGCTGGCTTTGATGAGCCCTCCTGTGTGAGACGCCTTGGTCGGGGCTTTAGGCAGATCACCTCCTCCAGGCCTTGTCAGAATCAAAGAAGTGCTTTCCCATTCTCCAGACATGGAGTCCCTGGCACAGAGAGGTCAAGCAACGTGCCCCAGGAGCACAGCCACAGCGCCAGAGCAAGGCTTTCCTTCCCAGGCTTGGTAGCCTCAGGTCTCAGCAGGCCAGCTCTTAGAGGGTGTGGATGCTCAGGCCATGGGTGAGAGCAGGCAGTGCTGTAGCCGGGAGATTCAGTGTTAGTGTAACAGCAGCAGCCCAGTGCTGGCGTGAGGTTTTAGCCTTTCCTGTCATCCCCTCTGCCCTCTGACATTGCCTTCAGGACACATGGAATCTAAGCACACTGAACAGAAACAAGCCCCAGCATTTCTCAGCAAGCTCCTCCTGGCGGGGAAATAGTCCTGGTAAAAGCGGCTGGATTTTGAGTACTTATGTGACAGACACTATGTGAGGGCTCTCTGTGGTCCCTTGAATCATTATGGTGTCATGGTCTTTGTTTTTCTTGGGAGTGGAGATCAGAACCAAACCATGATGTTGCAAATTCTGATGTTTTGCCATTGAACTGTGCCTATGCCCAGCATTTCTACTTTCTACCCAAGGAGACAGGCTCAGAGACACTGGGGGTGTTTTCTAAAGTCATGCAGTTAGTGTGACAGTAGGTCTGGTCTGTCTGCTATGAAATACATGACAGCATCAGTAAGCCATGCTGCTGAGGACAAATGGGAGGGCAGGAAGACCTGGGAGCAAGGACTGGGCTTTCAGTACTGGTGTGATCCTCATTCCTCCTCTTCTCTCCTAGGGTGGCTCAGACCCCTTGCCCTGGTCCCAGCTTGTCAGCATCTGCTCAGGGCTGCTTCATGCTGTTGAGCACCTACATATCCTGGACATCATCCATGGCAACATCAAGAGGTGGGAAGGCTGCACTGCCCAGGGCCTGGCTGAGGCTCAACCCTGCTTCCTCCGAGGGCCTGCTCCTGACTCCCTTCTCTTGTGGCCCCCTTGCTGCCTATGTCTGTGTTTGTCTCTGGGCTGTGCCCTGGGTCTGATTGCTCTCAGCATACAGTGCCCAGCTGTCACCACACTGAGCTCGCTGAGCTGCTGTTCTGCAGTAGGCCCTCCAATACCCCACTGCTTTTCACAGTTCACTTGCTCAGCGGACCACTTGGACCCCATCCTCGAGCTCTCAGCCATGTCTGGGACTTCGAGCTCCCTGTTTCAGCCCTTCTCAGAGACCCTTGCTTATGTACCTGTTGGTCACAGCATCTTTGTCAGGGAGGCTTCCTGTCCCCCAGCATCTTAGCACCATCTCTCCAAGAGTAAGAGATCCCCATCTGGGGACTGGCGGCATGGGGTGAGATTCTAGAAGATTCCAGAAAACTCTTCCAGAAATAGCCCCAGAACCGTAGGACTCCCAGTTCCCCGAAGTCCTCCTTTGGTTTGGCACATGCAAGCATAGAAGCCTTTTCCTTTTTCTCTCCCCTGATTTCTGTTTTCTTGCACCAATAGTTGTACTAGTGAAAAAGGAAATGAAAGAGCAAGAGGTTCAGTGACCCACCACTGTGACTCATTCACTGACCTCTGGGTTATGTTTCTTTTCATTTTTTGTGGTTCTGTGGATGGAACCCTGGGCCTTGTGCGTGCTAAGCAGGTGCTCTACTGCTGAGCCACATCCCCACCCCAATTCTCATTTTTTGTTTCACTCCCTCCCCATACAAATCCATGATGTGGCCTGGTTACCTGGTTAACAATTCATCTTCTGTTTTCCTTCTTATTTGAACATGGTAAGCATTTCCCTATGCGGTATATTATCACACACTTTCACAACTTTTTAGTCTTCCCTTGATGGGATTTTCCCATAACTTACTTACTTAGCCATTCTTAAGATTGGATATTGAGAATTGGTGTCTACTACTTAAAACACTGTTTGGGCTAGGTGTGGTGGCACACACTTGTAATCATAGCACTTAGGAGGCTGAGGTCGGAGGATCACCACCAGTTTGAGGTCAGCTTGGGCTACATATTGAGTTCAAGGCCAGTCCAAACTACACAGTGAGACCCTGTCTCAAAAAAACAAAAAAAACAACTTTTTGGGGTTAGTTTTACATATGCATCTTGGTTTATTCCTTTCCTTGGAATATTTCTCTGAGTTAACTCCCAGTGACTAGATGACTGGGTCAAAGGGTATTTTTATTGCTCTTTAAAAATTTTTTTAAATTGCTGTTCTTATTCCCCATGACTGAGGAAGTTAGTCACAAAAGACGCTGGTATGTGGACTTCTCCCAGCCAGCTAGAGCTAGAGGTCAACAACTTGGAAGAAAACAAGCCAACACAGGCAGTGGGTTTGGCAGGCTGAGCTGATAAGGGTGGGCCTCTGCAGGGATCAGTAGCTGCACCTCTTGGGCAGTGCATCATATTTGCTGGAGGCCTGGACTCCAGTGCCCTGTTTCCCTGTGGCAGGGCTGGCTCTGACCCTCTGTATTGAGGGTCTTCAGTAGCTCCCCTTGCAGGGGTTACATACTCCACACTATTTTCCAGAAGGGTCTCTGTGGCAACCTGTCTAACTCAGAATGAGGGTTCTCTCTGCTTTCCGCAGCTCCAATGTTTTGCTGGGTGAGGAATTCACCCCTAAACTGGCTCATCCAGTGGCCCAGATGTATCCGGTCGACAAAAGGTCAGAATACACAGTGATGAAGAGCCACCTTTTCCAGGCCTCAGCAGCATATGTGCCTGAAGACTTCATCAGGGTCGGGCAGCTGACCAAGCGTGTGGACATCTTCAGCTGTGGAATAGTAAGGATCTCCCCTGTTCAGATGTGGGCCAACACTGCTTTGCTAACCCATAGCCCCTTTTTAAGCACAGCACACTGTGGAGCAACCTCCAGGCCTGAGCAGTTCCATCTAATAGAGAGAGAGAGAGAGAGAGAGAGAGAGAGAGAGAGAGAGAGAGAGAGGGAGGGAGGGGGAGGGAGATATGCTTGGGATGAAGGCCTGGGCCTTGTTCATGCTAAAGCAAGAACTTTGCACTGAGCCACACTTTCACCAACTTTTTTCTTTTTTTGGCAGCACTAGGGATTGATTGAACCCAGAACCTTCATACCGAGCTACATCCCTAGCCCTTCTTGTTTTTTATCATGGGATAGGGTTTCACTAAGTAGCTAAGATGCCCAGGCTGGACTCAAACCTGTAGTACTCCTGCCTCAGCAGAGTGCTGAGATTATGTGTGTGCACTGCAGGACAGGCTCTTGCTCCTTAAGAAGCAGCTGCCTGACCACTAGCTGCTGAGCATCGAGGCCCAGGTCCAACTAAGTTACTTTCAGCCATGTCACCTACAATTCCTGACCCCCATCTCTGTGCATGCCCGATCTTCTGCAAAATAGGATAATGAAGTATGAAAACGAATGGGATAATGTGTACCAACTGGTCCTGACTGGTATTATTATTACTACTTTTTTTTTTTTAAGGTTTTGGCATGGGGACTGAACCCAGGGCCTGGTGCATGCTAAGCACAAGCTATACCACTCTGCCGAAGCCCTGAGCCTGCTACTGTCACTCTGACCTTCATAGCCTTGCTCCTGCTTTCTGTTCACTCTCAGCTTTCTGGCTTAGTCCTTGGTGTCACAGCTGACTTCCTCCCTCACCCATCCCTCCATCCCCTCATCCATCCTTCCAGCTGTCCAGCTGGAGGCCCACTGGCTCCCTCTCCCTCTTGGCTCAGCCTGGCTCTTGGCCAATAGTTGTGAGGTTGAATTTTGGTTCTCCTGTGGGGATCACACTGCATTTCCCAGTATTTGTTTTGTGTTTTCTGTTTCTTTTCTTGCAGTGCCAGGAATAGAATTCAAGGCCCTGGGCATGCTACACAAGTGTTTTGCCACTGAGCTACTTATCCCCCAGCCCTCTCAGTGTGTTTGGTGAGCACTTCCTGAGCCCTGTGAAGGGCTCCCCATTACAGGGCCACGCGGAAGAGCCATCTTCTCTCTCTTCCAAGCAGAACTTGTTCACTTTTCAACTGGCTCTGGTACCACTTGCTGCAGTGGTGCCCTCTGCTGCTCCCTGCTGGTCATTGCCCATCTGTTATTAACATATCATCTTTATTGGCTGCAAATATGACCCTAACTCTGCTTCCAGAGGGTTTTGGGGAGAGAGATTCAATCCTAAGAGCGGGGTGTTCACTCCTCTTCACAACCTTTAGAACCACACTTACCGGTTGAGGAAACTGAGGTTCAGGGTTTAGTGATCTGTCCAAAGGTCACCTGAGCAGTAAGGAATAGTCAGGATTTGAACCCAGAACTGGCTTTAAGCACTGTGCTGTTGTCTCTGCAGAGAGTTGCTTGGTTCAGAGCACATTTCCTGTTAGTGCAAACTTATCATGGGTCCAGGCTGTGCTTTCTCAGGAATGGAGGAGTAATGAATAAAGTGTTAAGAAGGCTGTGGAAAAAACATGCTGTAGGTATGCTGAGACTTGTGTACAGTGCAGATACCTGCCAGTGTGTGCCTTCTTCCCCTGAGAGGGACACAGCAGGCTTGCTGTTGCTGACAGATTCTTAAACAAAACAGTCCTAGCATGTACGTGCATGTGCAGATGGCCTCCCCTCATGGCTGGAGCATCTGACCCGTGCCGAGCCCGTGTTCTGTTCTCTGCAGGTGTTAGCAGAGGTCCTCACTGGCATTCCTGCGATGGACAGTGGCCGGAGCCCCGTGTACCTGGTAAGGGGGTCTGATGGGGCCTTGGGGCTGCGTGGGTAGGGTGGCTGTGTCCACCTCTGCACACCTCAGTCCAGGGTTTGATTTCCATTTATGCAGAGTAGCTTTAAACCTAAGGCTTTACCAGCTTTTTCATGCTCATGGAATTTAGAATCCTCAGAAAAATGGAAGGAAAAAATGGAAGCAAAGCTCTTGTACAAAGGGAGGAAAAGGGATGGGGGAATGGAACAAAATAAAATAAAATTTATTTTAAAAAACAGAATGCTTAGGAAAAACCCATTCCTTCTCTACCTACCAGCTGGTTACATAGGTTTGTCCTCAAGTTCATAAAAGTTTATTTCAGCCTCTTAAATAGGTTTTCATAATGAAAACTGTACTTTCCATTTTGTATGTCAAAGATTTCACACACACGTGTGCATGTGTGTGCACCACATGATGTCATTTCAGAAATATCAGACCACAGTGTATCAGCCACTTTACATACATTATCTTTCTGGATCATCACAGAATCCTCATGATAGGGTTATGGTATTGGTGTACAGATCAGGAAAGTGGGCTTGGACATTTGTGTTGTGTTCTCGCATTATTGAACCAGAAAGCCAGGATTCTAGGCAGGTCTCCTGGGACCAGGTCAGTGTCTCTTTGTCTGAGACAGAGTCTCTCTGTGTAGTTCAGGCAGGCCTTGAACTTAGTATTTAGCTCAAGTTGACCTCAAACTCACTGTGATCCTCCTGCCTCAGCCTCCCGAGTGCTAGGATTATAGGTGTGTGCCACCATACGTGGATCTTTTGGTTGTTTCTTATGACTGTTCTGTTCTCTCCTGGTCCTCCTCCCTTTTCTTTCTTTCTGTCATTGTGTTTTTGTATAAAGTGGGTCATCTGTCCTATATAGATCATCTCACATTCTTGTTTTGCTGATGACATCCTTGTGGTGCTGTGCGTGCCTTTCTCTGTTCCTTCTATTGTCTGTGCCTGAGACTTGCTTTGGATTCGTGGTCAGTGCTTTTCTCCAGAATACTTTCGTGATTAATGTGGCACAGCCCTGGTGTGGCCCAGCTTCCTGCCTGAGGGTACAGTTGGTGACTGCTCTGTGGGAATGCTGACTTTCTGTTGTGAAATCTGGGCATTTTCCTGAGGGCCCTTCTCAGCACTCGCAGTGCCGCTTGCTGGATAAGCTGTCCTTCCACTGGGAACCCACAGGGTGATGAGCTGTCCTGTTGCTCTTTAAGGCCAATCACTGTGAATACTGTGGTTCTGTGCAGATAGTGGTGGCCTCTGCATCTGCAAGTCAGACAGAGGCTTCAACTGTTATCTAGTGATTTGTCTACTTTCAACACTTATAATTTTCTTTTTGTTTTTGTTTTTGACACAGAGTCTCATTATGTAGTTCAGGCTGGCTTTGAACTCACAGTGATTCTCCAGCCTTAGCCTCCTGAGTGCTGGGATTACAGGCGTGCATCACCGTGACTGGCTAAGATCATTTTTTATTTTTTTTTTTTTTTTTTGGTACCAGGGAATTGAACTCAGGACTTTATGCTTGCCAGGCAAGCGTGGGGCCACTGAGCTGCATCCCCAGCCCATATCATTTTAATTCTTTAAAAGATAGCCATTGAAGAGGCACAAGTGATCCAAGGGGTACAAGAGAATCAGGAGAGCATCCCCTGTCCCCAAGAAGTTATTAGTCTGCAAGTGCTGAATTCCTGATGGTGTAGTATCAGGCAGGAAGTATTGTCAGATCTTTGAACCACCTATTTTCTGGTTGGGGAAACAGACAGAGTGGGGCTTGTTTTATTTTATTTTATTTTTGGCTGGTTGGTTATCCTTTGTTGTTGTTGTTTTTTTTTTAACTTTTTTTTTCCTTTTTATTGAGTTTATTGGTACAATCTAGGTATACAATACAATTACATTCATCATTGGGATTCTATACCTTTACATAATAGGTCTGATTCTCATTTTTTCCCCTTGTCCCTGCCCTCTCTTCACCCCCTCCTCCCCTACCCATTTACAAACACTTTATTTCCATTTTTTCAGTTTCTCATATATTTTTTTCCTCTCCCTTATTACCTTTCCCCCACCCTTCCCACTTTCCCTACACCTTTAGCCCTTTACTTCCTATTTCACATTATTAAGTATCTCATT